ACGGGCCGTTTAGCAAATTTCACGGCCCTACCCAAAATAACAATACGGTAGTTGCTTTAGGCGCGCCTTTAATAATATCATCTCCTTAAACTCGGGTGCACATTTATGTGACCCAAATCCAAGTCTCAACGGAGTCGAAATGTGTCTCTAATCACGGGTACATTGATTGTGACGTGGTCTGAGATGCCTTTCCATGACGTTGCAAATTCCTTTTAAAATAATGAATGAGACGAGCCTCGACAAACAAAAAATGTAGAAGCTGCGGGGCCCTCTAAATGCATATATATTAAAATACATAGAATTCGGGACAAGCCGTTTAGCAAATTTTACGGCCTTCCCCAAAATAACAATACGTTAGTTGCTTTAGGCGCGTGTCATGGTCAAAATCATCATAAGCAAAATCATTTCTTGCTTTAATTTTGCCTTTAATAATTTTTTTATACGGTATGACAAAATATTTTTGGCGTACTATATGTACGCGACCAATGACATATCCATGTAATCACACAGTAATATTCATTATCTTTCTTTCTCTCAAAATCTCCCTTAGAGGTAAGTTGTAGTATTTATTCAACCATGTATAAGCAATATAATTTGTATCACATATATATTTTCACATTCACTTTCAAGAATGAGTCTGCATTTATAATGCTTATCACAAGTCACATTTTCAAAGAATGGACCATAATCATCCGAACATGTCTCATATTTACAGACCATACTGATACACATTTCCTTCACCTTTGAAGGATTGTTTTAAGAATCCTTATTGTTCTCTTTTTTATATTTACCATGATGATGACTATTGTCACACCTCCTTTTTCCGCACCCGCGAGGGCACAAGGGAGTTCTTTCCAATTAAAGGACAATCGAAACGGGATTTATTTATTTATTTCAGAGTCGCCACTTGGGAGATTTAGGGTGTCCCAAGTCACCGATTTGAATCCCGAATCAAGGAAAAGAATGACTCCATATTACAGTCTGCGTACCAGAAATCCGGATAAGGAATTCTGTTAACCCGGGAGAAGGTGTTAGGCATTCCCGAGTTCCGTGGTTCTAGCACGGTCGCTCAACTGTTATATTCGGCTTGATTATCTGATTTTATACAAATATGAACTTATGTGCCAATTTTATCTTTTAACCGCTTTTATCATTCACTGTTATTTTTATAGGACTTGCAACGTCATGAAAACATATCTCGAACCACGTTACATCAATGCACCCGTGGTTATTGACATATCTCGACTCGGTTGAGATTTGGATTTGGGTCACATAAATGTGCACCCGAATTAAGGAGAATAAATTATTAAGTGATAATATAATTTTTCCTGTGGAGGATATATTCATGGATGGTGGGATAAAAGATCTTATAGTATAAAATTAATTGAAAGCTCCGGAATAACGAATTTGTTACTATCCAAATAATTAAAAATTATTCATGGCATTGATGGTTGTAAGTCTCAAAAGGAACTTTTTGAGTTTCAAAAATATTATCAAAGTGGTTCGTATTTTGAGATTATAAAGGAAGATTGAATAGCTTCATATTACTATAATCATACAAGGTAAATGTGAAAGATTACCCGTCTTTTCTTCTATTTGTACTACACATGTATAAGCATGATGATGGAATTACATGCCATAGTAAATTAGATGTTTTCTATAATAAATATCAATTGACATGACCGGTTGTCCATCCCGGTTCAATTATGACGCAAAAATTGATCGATAATTCACATTGACATATATTAAATAATTAGAAGATTCTTTGAGAATTCTCCCGTACAACTTGTTCTCATGAATGCCAGTTGCATTGTATGGTCACATGTGCGTTTGTTATCAACTTGCAGTTTGGCTTTTGCAAGGTGGCTTGCTCAAATTACTAGAGCATAGTTCCAGAATATAAATTGTGATAATAATGCTGGTTTAAATTCAAGTTGGTTTAGTAGAAATTGTATGCCTCCAATTATAGATAAACCATTGGTATGAGATGTATTACTTAATATACAACAACACTTGTACGCATCTAGCCAATTACTAATGATAAATTCTCCCTATCACAATTGGTTCAGGGTCAGGAAGCAAATAACTTCCATCTAGAAATATGGATGTGCTATATGATCTAATTGTTCCACCACAATACACAAAGATGGGTCCCCAAAGAAGGTTGGAGATATGTATTGATGATCTCAACATAAGGGGGAGAAAATTAGCAGCTGAAAAAGTAATACATGGAACAAATTATTATGAGTACACCTAGATCCTCGTACAAGAAAATGCGAACTTGAAGTTCAAGTGATAATTCATTTACAAAATATTGTCAGCCGCATTTGCCGACCCAAAATAAAATGTTATATTTCAGCTTCTAATGCTCCAAATAGAATAAAGTCCATGATGGACAAAGTTTATGGCACGCATCAAATGTAATAGACTAATCGGTTCCAAAGATACAACTCCTTGATGAAGGAGAGGAGCAAATGATCAAGATGGTCTTAATAAAGAGGCAAGTGCTCTATAAGAGCACCATGACATAACACTTTATAAGACCTCATGGGAGAGGCTCAGGTACCTGTAAACAATGAGATCTCGATTGGTTATGTCATTATTGAGTGATGATGGAGACGATATAAAATGATCGTCTATGATATTGTTGATATAATGTAGCGTTCAATATTATTAATATCGACGAAGATCTTGAGCTCAAATCTTTCATGGAATTTGGACAAATAAATGATTGTCCAAATGAAAAATACGCAATGAAAATTAACTTCACCTGAAAAATGAGAAGTTGGACGGATAGTCCCAATACTTGAAAGTATAAAGCTAGTGAAGGTATAGATGTGTTTTTGTGTGAAAAGTTAAATAAAAAATCAAGTCGATAGACATAAAGCCGACTTGTGGCACATGGAGATTTGTAAATATCCTGTCATCAATTATATGGAGACATGTTCTCCTGTGGTGGATAAAGTAATTTCAAGTTTTGGTCTGACAATACATTTGATATGCGTATAATGAAAATCCTTGAAGGATTTAAATTGTTCTGAAGTATATTAAGGTTCCCAAGAAATTTATTAATTAAGGCTTCAACAAATCCTTATATAGATTAGAGCAATCATGGCGTACATGATTTATTTTTGTGTCTATTTTAATTGGTGCACTAATGTATCTTGCTAGAACCATGAATATAATAATATGCTAGCGAGATATAGTTTTATTCATATGTGGAGATATTAGAATACGATTTATATTATATTGCAAAAGGAATCCTTGATATAGATTTGTTTATTCTAAAAAATATTGCCAAGGTTTTGTTGATTAAGCAATCTATTTGCAAGGCTTTAAATTATTGATTCAAGTCATGCCAAGATATTAACAACTTATAAAGCAAGTGACTCAACACACAACATATGTGTGACTTTTCCTTGAAAAAGAAGACTTTAATAATATTGAAGACAATGTTACTTGCTTATCTCAACTGGAAGAAGAATATATTGAAGGCGATAAAATAAAGCACATTTCACCAAAGTTCTTTTCAGACATGATCTTCGATAGATTGGTGATGTTCAACAAATTAAACATGTTTGATTGATAATTTTATAGATCTGTTCAATGAATCATTACCAGCCACAACATTTGAGAAGCTGGTATACAGGATTGGAATGCGTCATTTCCTAAAAGTAAAGTGATGTTTTCATCAAGGGGAATAAGATACGCGCTGCACTCTTTTTTCCTTAGCTGAGGTTTTATCCCACTGGGTTTTTCTAGCAAGGTTTTTAGCGAGGTAGTAAACAATGGGTATTACAAGATATGTGCATTTTTTCCTTCACTAAGATTTTTTTCCCACAGAGTTTTTTCTTAGTAAGGTTTTAATGAGACACATTATTTATGGACATCCAAGGGTTATAAATAATTATCTAATGGTGAATGTCCATAACTCATAAAGGAGTAATACCCACTATTCTTCTCCATTATCTCCATAGCTCCCACTACTCCAATACTTATGGAGTTATGGTTGTAACTCCCATACCTTCATAACGTCCCCGTGATCTTTCTCCATGATCTCAAATGTTTAATGTCATGTTTATGACATTCTTTTGTAAACCTCTATGTAATACTATTAATAGAGGATGAGAAGTTATATTGTATACACTTGAAAAGAATTGGGAAATACTTGATGAAGTAAGAAAGTTTTCTCTTTCTTCTCTTTATTTCTTGTCTATTTTCTTGTTTTATATTGTTACTTTGAGCTTAGTTTATTGGAGTACCATTCTTCTTGTTTCATCTTTTTTCTTATATGTTAGTAATATGATGGTTTGGTCTTTCAGCTTATCATCCGCCTATATAAAAGTATAATGTTCAAATTTTCTTTTTGAGGGTAGTCAAACCTATTTATATTTGACTGAAGATTTCATTATTTTGCAAAAACAAAAATTCACAGGAGAATTTTTCCTACAGTATTTACGGAACACTTAAATATAAATGACTTTTGAAAATAATAAAGGGCAAGTTATATATTTCGTCGATCGGCAAAAAATAATTATATTTGCTAGTCAATGTACAAAGATATGTATATTTTTGTATGTTATACATTGATATACAAAACAAATACATTTCGCCGGCTAGTATGTTTTAGAGCGCTCTACTGTGTAATTTCTCCAATAATAACTTGGTCGTCTTCTTGTTTCATTCTTAATATTAGCCAAATACACATTAACTGTAGTAATTATATGTCCAATTTGGGATGACCAAGTATCTTTTGAGAGACGGAAAAAGAAATAGTATGTTTTGTGTAAAATATCCATACAAGAAAAAAAGAGAGAAACCAATGCAGGGAAATGAGATCACTGTAGCTTCATTCACCATATACTCATAAATACTAGTAGTATAGTATATATGACATTAATAGAGACGCATGAGTCGAAGAATCTCAAAAGAAAAGTGTAACTTTACACTAACTGGTATTAATAAAAACAAAGGCAATAGACTTGCTAAAATTGAATGTCTTAGATCCTATACTCAAGTTTATCAGCTTTACATAGAGGATTTTCCATAGCCAAACGAGCACGTCCCATAGACTTGAAATTGAATGTGCATGCATGTTCCTCTGGGTACCTATGAATCCTACAAAACATTCCACCACACTTACAACTGAACCCTATTAATCCCACTTTCTTCTTACAACTCTTGCACCTTTCTGTCTTTGTTTTCATCGTCAAACCATCGTCGTTTCCAGTTTTAACAGTATCATCAACAGTAAGAAAAGATAACTTTTCAGATAAAGCTATTGCACTCTTGGCGGCTTCTTCTTTCAAGAAAACTTTATAGCATTGGGAACAGAGATTGTGATTGCTTGGGTTACCATAGTAGCCGCAACCCCTTGCGCATAAACTTAAATTTTCTGCTTTGTGACAAAAAGTCATTCTTTTCCCTTTGAATGAAGATTTTCTTCACTGGTAGATTGAAGCAACTTATCACTGGTAGTAATTGTGTAGTTAGCTCTTCTCAATTGATGAGTGCAGCTGATGTTGTGTTTGCCGTTAATATATAGAGGAAGCTTGTAATCCAAATTAAGGTCGAACTAGGACTTTCCTAATTTAATATCCCTCTCCCCCTTTTTTGGTTTTTGTTTGAGAATGTTACTAGTATTTGGAAATCCTTGTCCGACACATATCAGGACAATACTTAGTGGGGTCGATCAAAAACTTTGGCCTTCTTTAATATGGTATGTCGTTTATATCCTTATTTAACTTGGCCTAGTTGTACTTTCTTTGTGAGTTCAACAGGGACTTTGGGGTGCATTTTTTTACTTGTCAAGATTATTGCAAATTAATTTTTTTTATAAAATGGTAGATTTAAATAATGAAAAAATGAGTTAAGATAACAATAAAAAGTAATGGAAATCAAATTAGGACATCCTAATTTTAATATTTTTTTCGTAGGTCGTTTCATAATTTTTGCCTGGTAATTGCTTAGTATTGGCGTCTGTTCCCTCGGCTTCCTCTTCTATTTGGTTTTGGTTTCAGTCCTTCCCCAACAAAATTAGGGAGAAATTCAGAATTAACCTGGTTTATAAGTGCTAATTGTAAATTAGTTATAATTTTAAAATTAATCGAAATTTAGCCACTTATTCATGCCAAAAAAAGTCATGACAAAAATGCTCTTAGTCAAAATTCGAAAAAATTATGTTGGAGTTTAATTTTTTTACATACTAAATATCAGCATGATGTGATGGATTTCGAACATAAAATGCCGGATTTTATATGCAGAAATTCGATATTCCAGCATATTATGCTAGACTTTTTTTCGTGTTTCAGCTAAGGATATTTTTTCAAATTTTACTTGAGCATTAAATGGTAATTATTTTTCAATTACTTTATAAATATATCTATTTTTTAGTTACCAGTCCAAAAATTGGTCATCCCCGTCATTTTGACCACAAATTAGGCTAACTCAAGACTCAGCCCACGTTAGGATGGAATAGAAGTTCAATAGGCGCTGGACTCATCACCAGCTTCCGCCTTCTTTACATCCTAATTTAAAAGGGATGCTGTGGGAGTATTTTCAAAATTTTAAATAGCCATATTTTTTTTTTTTACAAGTATCCTATCTATTTTCAAGTGGCTGAGCTTTAAAGTCAAATGTTGAAAGGCTTTGACAAGTGGCTATACAAATCTACCATGTGTCTTCATGCATGGAAGACTAAGTACACTTGTTAATATTAAAGCCAAGTGGACTAATATATTTGAACAAGTGTTAAAAGACTCTCCACACCTGTCATACATGTAGCCTCCCAAATTGCCTATAAATAGGTTGTGGAGTAGCCATTATTTTTACTCAATTCTTAATCGTGAATTCATCTTGCTTCTCCTTTTTATAGTTCGCTAATCATTACTTTCTTCCTACGGTCATTACCTATTATTAATAATAATTCTTCTCTCCAATTTTCGAACCTGCTGGATTTATTATTTAATTTTGCTGATTTCTGTATCCTCTAAATAAATAGAGGTATGCTTGTTTAATCCTGAGGAAACATTTTAAATTGCCAAAATAGTTTCTTAAGACAGTGTCCAACACAGTGTCACACCCCCTTTTTCCCTCTTCACATCGGAAAATCGGGTTTATGATATTTTGGGTATGGGACAACTCATTCCTTTTGGGAACTGGGTTTGCATTTTCGAAGAGTCGCCACTTAAGAATTTAAGGTGCATTAGGACACCTATAGGGTTCATTTCTAAGTTTGTTTGATAACCAGAGATAAGGTAAGAGCTTCAAATTATCCTAAGGGAAGGTGTTAGGCACCCCTCAGGATCCACTAGTGTGGTTCCCCGCCAGATTATTTTGTGAATTTTGTACAATTAGCAAATAGACAAGTATAGGTTCAAATAGTAGGGGATTTAAGTTTAAGCACATAAGAGTTTGAAAACAATTATTAAAAGGCGAAATTTGAAAAAAAAGTTAAAACATACTTAAGAATGTAAAAGGGATGGGGGTCCTAGGTTTGTTTATAATATGGATCACATCAATGCGATACCCGATATGACTCTCCTCAGAAGAGGGGATACACGTGGTGTTAGCGCACCGGTTATCATATCCATATCTACCCTTCCCACCCCGTTAAGGTATTAGAGCGCGGATTGGTCTCGACCTCTATTACATGCTATTACCCGTCCCATGCCTATCAGTCCCGGAGGAATTTAGGACTACTATTCCTATAAGAGGGAGGATTTTAGGCTGACTCTTAGGTTTTAAAGGTAAAAGGCTAAGGCGACATACAAAACACGTAGGACTGCATTTGGAAGGGGACATATAAACAATTAAAGGGCTCATGTATATACCTCCGCAGACAATGCATATAAATAGCATGACTTAAACACAATTAGGGTATGAATTCTAAAACACTAAAGCAGGATGTTTAAATTGTTGAAGCAGACCAAATTTATTACATAACTCAGATAAGAAGTCTGAATCAGGCTTGCACGCTGGTTGTAGCAGTTGCTAAATAATGTCAGATTCAGTTTTATCATTATTATTACCTAAGGCTTGCCTAAGCGTAATAGTGAGGTCCTAGGAGCATGATATCTATTATTGATTAGGAGTGCAATAAAACATTAAACAATTTTAAACGAGCGATTTGGATCATATAGACATGCTTTCTAAACCGTATTAATTTAAAAGAGCAGGTTATTTAATCTGATTCAGAACAGATAAGTACGAGCCAAACTGATTTTTAACTAAACTAGTTTTTAGATCCTATAGGCATGATCTCTATCATAGCTTATTTTAATTCCTACAGGCATGGTATCCAAGCATTAAAGCTGACTTTTGGTCCTATAGGGATGTTATCTAATTGAACAAAGTGAAGCAGACATGATTTATTTGATCAAAGCGAAATTCCTATAGGCATGATTTCTATTAAAAGCCCTTTAGATCCTATAGACATGGTTCCTAATTGTGAAAGTAAGCATGCGGAATTTTATTAAAACCAAAGCAGATCCTATAGGCATGTTCTCAAACAGATCATATCGAAATACACCCTATAGACATGTTATCTACCCTTCTAATGGCTAAAGCATGCATAATCACCCCACCCCTTTCATTAGCCAACCCCAATATTTGTTACAAATTATTACAGACCAAATGATTGAATTACATCAGAAAACGTGCAAAAATAAGAAGTTACAACCATATGAAGCCTGATTCTGACTTCCTCTCTGAGTTATGGAATAAACCACCTCAAATGCCAATGTTGTTCAAAGCCTTTCTCATATCTGGGTGAGTTAAAGTTCCCTAAGGACCTCATGGGATCCCGGGCAGTGCTCACACCCAGATTTGCATAATCAGATAGAATGAGTGTAGTGTGGAAGGGCCAACCCTTATGTGTCCAAGTTCAGAGGGAGCTCAGGGGTCCCAAGGTAAGGCTCACACAAGAGGGGCAGAACCTAGGTTCTAGGAGTATAGTGAAAGTACAGAGCATAGTTAAAAAAGAGTTTATTTAAGCTGGACTAGCAAGTCCATTTTGAAAGTAATCAGTAGTAGAAGTGTTTGAAATCAGTTGGGGTAATGAACAAAACTCAAACACACAGAATCAGTAGTCACACAAAGGGGTTAAGGGGTTTTGGGAGTACATTGTATAAAGCATATGACCCCAGTAGGGGTCAAGTTTGGTCATGCACAGCAATAGCTGATGCTGACATGCTCACAAACCAGCCAGAGACACAAACACATTGAAAGAATATGGGGGTATGGGATTCATAAGTCGGCAAATACATAACAAGTGACTGACAGAGTACACACATAGGGAAGCATTAATTTAAAAGGGAAGGGAACATATTAAAGCATGTTAGTAATATAACTTGACTACAGAAGTATAAATAGGAGTAGACAAGAATGAAAGGAATTGGAACAATCAAAGAAACATTTTATTGTTGGGGCTTTTAAAAATTAACTAGGACATACCAGTAGAGAAACAAAGTGCAGAAGGTAAAGTAAGCAGGGTTCCACAGTCTAGCCTTAGCTTTCAGCCGGCTAAACAAAGCAGTAGCACAAGTAGCAGTAGGAAAAGAGAGAGTTTTGAGTGTAAGTACGTGTTTTTGAACTCCAAATGTTCGTGTCTTTGAAAGAAGATAGGGTGAGTATTTATAGTATTGAAAACGAGTGAAAAATAAGGTAATAAGTAAAGTCTTAACACAAACATGGAAATAATCACAAATCAGAATCAATTAACGCAAGTGATTCCCTTTAATTAAGGAATCACTGCTTAACGGATACTAACAGTGGTTAATTAAGGAAAGAAAATCTGTTTGAAATAGATTGATTATTGCCATATAAGGAGGTAGTAAAAGTATGAAGTAAATAACCGAGTCTAAGTACAAAATAGGCTTAATTTTGGGAAGGGGTTAGGCAAAGTAAACATAAGGAGGGGAATCAATTAATTTAAACGAACGAGTAAAATTAGGGTTCATAAGAAAGCTTTTGCAATTAGTCGCAAGATCAAGATCAATCAAGAAAGAAACATGATTCTGCATTTCAATATATAAATAGAGTGAACAGAAGCATCAGACATGCGAGGCCAAACACATTGGCAAAAGAGATAACACAAACATACAATAGTTGCAGAAATAAGTTAGGATTCAGTAGTAAAGAAATCTACTCATAGCACAGTAGTCAACAAGGTCAGGTAGTTACGCAGAATCAAAAGTGACGAAAGCATAGTAACAGGTAAAGAGAGTCAGAAACAAGTAGAGGTATCACAGTAACAAGTGAGAAAAACCTTTTTAAGAAATTAGGGTTTTAATAATAGTTGTGTTTTAAAAAATGGTAAGATCTCAGAATCAAATAAGTCAAACAAGGACAAAGAAAATCAGAAACAAAGAACTTAATCGAACAAATACTCATTCAAACAAACAAGGACAATTTCAGA